CTCATATATGTACCCGTTACAGCGTCAACATCAACAATTCGTCAACGCACCGCAATCCTTCGTTCCGCATTGTGCTGACTTCGGCCGAGGACCAGCAGCCTGCAGAGAGTGTCGGGAATGCCCGAGTTTCGTTGCCTGATCCGGAGGAAGCTGATGGTTTATTCAGCTGCCTGGGACAGCTTTGCGATACTGCTAAGCGAGCCCTAGGATCATTCTTACGGAGGTGTGCCGACCGGCGAGGCAATTTGAAATTGCCAGTTGTGCCAGCCGCCGTATCGTGTTCAATCCAGCCCTTACGTTTCCAAATAGGGTATGTCGCTTAACGCTTTTGGACTCTTACATAATACTATCACAATTATGGTAATATCTTCCCATCTATGATCCAGCCTTGCCCGGCGCTCTGGGATTGCTGGAGATGAACACGATACGTGCGGGTGGTTTAGGAGCCTGCCCTCAGACGTGCTTTTGTCGGCAATTATTCCGACGTACGGCCCTTTTCAGGGCCGAAAATGTCGTCGGAATATTCTAACATTAAACCGTATTAACGGGGGTCCTGTTGCAGGCCGCGCCCCAGGTCGAGGACGACTAATGTACGGTGACGCACGTCATGGCGCAAAGACCTCAGCCAAGTTGTTGCGACGGTGGCACCACTTGTTTCTATCGAATGCTGCGCCGAGCACGCCAGCTTCCCAGCGAAAAGCGCCCATGACAAAATCGGATGCGAAAAAAACCGAACGCGTCATCCTGTGGCGAGATGAGGAAACAGCTGCTTTGGAGGAGGAAAGGCTACGGTGCGTGCGCATCTCGCACGGTCTGCTCCCAGGAAGACCGACGTATCGTGCTGAAGATCGTCCAGTTTGCTGAATTTACCGGAGGAGTTCCAAATCCAAAGAAATCGCCAGATTGGCTTTGCCGTGGTTGCGCACACGAAGGGGGTGGACGCCGGCCATCGCCGGGAGAAAGGGGGTGGCGCGGTACAGGCGCTTCGGGACTTGCCGCGAGCGCCTGGTTATTGCGTGATGTCGCGACAGTGCGGCGCAAGCTTTCGCCTCTCGAGCAGCGCTTCGGTCCCAGCTTTATAACCTGCCCTCGCCCCCCGTCCAGAACGGGCTCATGGCATCCTCGTCTTACGTCTGCGATACGCTGCCGCCGCCCAAGCTCGCCTCCGCCAGCGATGTCGACCAGACCCAGTCGCCGCGCGGAGACAGTCCGCCCGTGACCACCTTTGATCTGCCCAGCATCGACGCCCCGGATCACACGGATGAAGCACACGCGCACGAGCAGCAGGGGGGCGAAGGGAAGGGGAAGCAGGGGAAGCAGGCGGAGGTCGTTTCCGAGCAACCGCCTCCGCGCAAGCTATGCGTTCGACACCAGCGGATGGCGCACGAAGGCACGAACCTAAAGCTCCAGCAGGTATGTCGTCCGGCATTCTCGTTCACGTTGCGATCTAACATACATTAGGCGCTCGATAAACTACCGCTCGAAGATCGTGAGGCGATCAACGGCGTCTGGGCCTCCTTCTCCGCTTCGCCGCATCCTCGTCGTGCACTCATACTCCAAGGACTGCTCACCATGTGCTGCTTCTCGCAGCTTTCCCTCCTCACCGAGCAGCTCCAGGACCTGATCCGGCTCGACCCCTTCCGCGTGTTCCCCCGCGAGGTCTCCCTCCAGGTGCTCTCTTACCTCGATGCCTACTCGCTGTGTCGGGCGGCGCAGGTCACGCGCCTATGGAAGTCGCTCGCCGACGACGATGCGCTCTGGCGCGGCATCTGCGAACAGCACATCGGCCAGAAGTGTCACAAGTGCGGCTGGGGACTACCCATCCTCGAACGACGGCGACACCTAACGGCACCTGCTTCACCATCGCCGTCTCCCGGGTTGTTACCCGCGCCTTCAACGGCATCGACCTCTTCTCAGAAGCGAAAACGAGACGAACTCGCCCCCGTCCCGCCATCTTTGAAGCGCCAGCGTTCCGAGACACCCGCCGGTACCGGCCCCTCTACCCCCGCGCCCATGGACACCGACCGCTCTTCCTCCTCCGGCCCCTCCTCCCGCCGCTCCGCCTCCCCCACCCCGAACCCCCTCCTCTCCTCATCCTCCTCCTCATCCCAACAACACCCCTCCATCCAGCGCTCGCTCACCCGCCCCTGGAAAGACGTCTACTGCGAGCGCCTGCGGATCGAGCGCAACTGGCGTCGCGGGCGCTGCACCATCCGCACCCTCACCGGCCACACCGACGGCGTCATGTGCCTCCAATTCTCCGAGACCCTCCCGCACCCGGCCTTCCCGATCCTCATCACCGGCTCGTACGACCGCACCGCCCGCGTCTGGAACCTCGAGACCGGCGCCGAGATCCGCTGCCTGCGCGGGCACACCCGCGCCGTCCGCGCGCTGCAGTTCGACGAGGCCAAGCTCGTGACGGGCAGCATGGACCGGACGCTCAAAGTCTGGGACTGGCGCACGGGCCGCTGTCTGAAGACGCTCGAGGGGCACACGGAGGGCGTGGTGTGCCTCAACTTTGACCGCGAGCTGCTCGCGAGCGGCGGCGTGGACGCGACGGTCAAGGTGTGGAACTTCCGGTCGGGGGAGTGCTTCACGCTGCGCGGGCACAAGGACTGGGTGAACGCCGTGCAGCTGTGGGATACGAGGCCGTCGTCGTCGTCGTCGGCGGCGGCGGGGTCGAGCGGGCTCGAGGTGTTCGGGAACGGCGCGGGCGGAGCGAGGGCGCAGTCGCCTAACATCGATCCGGGGAAGATGCTGTTCTCGGCGTCGGACGATGGGTCGATCCGGCTGTGGGATCTGACGAAGAGGGCGTGCGTGCGGCAGTTCATGGGGCACGTCGGGCAGGTGCAGTCGATGCGGCTCCTGCTCGGATGCCAGCCCGACCCCGCTGCCAACCCCAACGGCCCTTCCGACGCATCATCCTCATCCACATCCTCATCTTCCTCAACGCCGAACGCTCAAGACGACGGCGAGACCAAGCCACCGCCACCGCCGCCGTCGTCGTCGTCGGGCTCCAAGCCGGTGCTGATCTCGGGCAGCCTCGACAACACGATCAAGCTCTGGGACATCGAGTCCGGCAAGGCGCTCAACACCCTCTTCGGGCACATCGAGGGCGTCTGGGCCGTCGCCGCGGACCCGATGCGGCTCGTGTCCGGAAGCCACGACCGGACGATCAAGGTCTGGGAACGCGAGTCGGGCAGGTGCACGGCGACGCTCATCGGCCACGCCGGCGCGGTGACGTGCCTCGCCGTCGGCGAGGACAAGATCGTGTCCGGCAGCGACGACGGGGACGTGCGCATATGGAGCTTTGCTAATTGAGAAAGGGGTCCCCGGTCAGGGCGCGCGCGTGAACGACGGTTTTTATGTCGAACGGCCTATGGTCCTTGGGCGACGGGCGCGCGCATATATGCACGCCTCGCGCTGGGCTTTTCAATTTCACCTCACTTATTGTCCTGTTCTATAGGGATTATTGCGACACGCCTTTGCACTGTCTGCTTGCTTTTTTGCTCTCCTCGTTGTTTCACTCGATTTTATACATCCGTTTCACCATCTTCACCCTGATATGGGGGAATATATGTTCTGTATAATAGACAGGATGGAAACCACCGATATATTGAGCGAATTAGAGTTCTCATCCCGGCACTTGCCAGTCCCTGACCTCTCTTGACCTTGTACACCGCTCCTATCATCGTGTCATACACACTCATTTACTCTACGCTCTTTTCATACCGCATGGGCTGGTGATAATCATGTCCATCTCCGGTCGCGACCCCGTACTCGCGTGTCTCAGCGCACTCCGGTCGTCTCACCTCAGCCTCGGCCTCAGAGCCTCCTGCAGCACCTACGACGCTGTCGAGGACCACGACGACATAGAATGGGCATCTCACGAAAACCTCGACGTTACCCAATCCACCGCCCCCTCTTCCTCTTCCTCTTCCTCTTCCTCGGACTCGCTCATCAGTCTAGAGGGTGAATCGACTGTAGACGGCGAGGCATCGGACGATCCCCACTTCACCCTCATCCACCAACTCGAATCCGTCGTCTCCCAGCTCGCGGCGACTAACAGTGCCCTACGACGCGAACTGCAAGCCGCCCGCCACGAAGTAGCTCAACAGGGTGCCGAACTCGATGTCTATCGCCAACGACAGCGGCTCTACGAGCGGCACATCTCGGAACTGAAGCTCCGTGGAGTGAGGACAGCCTCTACTAGCGGGGAGAACCAACCCAAAGTCCAGGATAAGCTCGGTGAACCCACCCCCACCGAGACGACCGTCAGAATGTCTAAGGGTTCCGAGCTCAAGATCCTCTTCACGCTCGGCAGCGGCCCGACTGCAGGTCCCTCCTCTTCCTCCAAGTCGTCCCCGGGGCAACGAGCCTCCGTCGTCCTCAGCGCAGACATCTCCGCCTTCGCCGAAGACGCCTCCCGGTCCCCCAGCCGGTCGAGCAAGCGCACCTCGAAGCGCTTCAGCCGGACCGCCGCGGCCGCGCGCAAGTACGCTATCTCCCCGTTCGCCAAGACACCCGCCATCCCGGACAACTGGGCCCAGGGGCCTCCGGCGCCCTCCCCGGTTAGCTCCCGTCTCCAGGACAAGCAGCTCGCAGTGCCCGGCAAACCGAAGATGGTGAGACTTCTTCCCTAGTTTCAGAAGGGTCTTGGTCTAACTCCTGTCCTTTGCAGTCGCAGATTCACAATTCCTCCTCCGGTCGTCAGTCGTCGAAGTCCCGCGCGGTGTTGAAAAAGACGACCCGACGAGGGAGCGAGGCACCCCCGCCCTACTCCCCAAGCAGCTCCAAGCCACCCTCTCCCACCAGCAAGTTCGCGTTCCCGTCCTCCGACCCCTTCTCCGCCTCGGGCGACTCCGTCATCGACCTCCCCCTCTCGCCCACGTCCGCGCTCTCATCCTCCTCCTATTCTGCGGATGCGCGCCCGTCGCCCTCGCTCTCTTCCGCATCCCGTCTGCCGAAGCTCGCCCCGTCCCCGCTGGGGCTTCACTCACCAGCCATCTACCACGGCCACCTCCTCCCGCCAAAGCCGCCCGCCTCGACCGTGCTCTCTACCACCATCTCCGCTACGGCCAAGGCCGCCGCAGAAGCCGCCGCTCCGACGACCCTCTTCGGCCGCATGCGCAAGTTTTCCACCAGCAAACGACGTTCCTAGGTGGATAGATACCCACACACCGGTCGGACAGACGACATACTTATATATATGTATACATATACCCCCAGCGCGGCTGTTGAGCATCCGACGCAATGTGATGATATTATTCGTCACGCAGATCGAGAGGGAGAAAGAGGCTTCCAATACATTCCGGTAAATGTGGCATGGTATCTATACGATGAGGGGATAAGTTATGCAGTGGTATCATCTAGAAGGAACATTAGAGTATCCAAGATGAGCGATAGTCCCAGAATCAGACCCGAAAACCGGCCGCGGCCAGCTCGAAGTGCCTCGATTTGAATAGTTTATCTTCCTTTTCCGTCAGCATCCGGCTCCTTTCTTCAAGATCCCGCACTGATTTGGGGTCGTCGCGCACGCCCCGGAGGGCGCTCTCGAGGTACGCGAGCCAGCCCTTGTCGCGATAAGCCTCCAGATCGGGAGGTTTGTACTTGAGCGCCTCTTCCACCTGGTCCGCAAGCTCATAACAGCGCGCGAAGTTGATCAGCTGTCGTCCTTCCCACTCCTTGGTCGGTTTCTGCTGAAAAGCCTTACAGGCCTTCAAGTGGACATCTGATGGGGTATCGCACTCAGTGCATAAACACGGGGCGCAGACGGTTGACGGCACCTAAACATGGCACGCATCTTCCCCGCGCCGAATTTATCGCAGCGTAGTAAGCCCCATGACCGTTCGCCTCGTTGAGCAGCTTTACCATCTCTTGCAAATTCGCGCTGTCACGCTTGTGCAGCTCTCGCCATGTCACTTTGAGGCCCTTCAACTGCGACGACTGGAGAGCGTTGACGATTGCCGACATGGACGAGTAGTTGTGCAGTTTTCTGCACTCCTGCCGCGAACAGGCGGTGAGTTAAGCATAAGGGGCATAAATTACGAGTGTAACTCACAAGCGCTGTGTTGATGAAGTACTTGAGCGACAGCGAACGCCGATCGGGCTCATCACGGTGAAGAACGGAACGTTTGACCCAGTAAGCAATCTTCTTGCAGGTTCGTCGATGCTCGTCGACGTTGTTCTGCGTTGTCCGTCAGCACTGGTCTCTTCGTGCCAATCGAAATCGTACCCAGTTCTTATCTCGGTGGTCTAGCTCAAGCTGATCGCGGTCGTAACGTCGTTGCAAATATGCTACGCATTCACCTGGGAGGATGCGAGCATACAGAGCGCCTTCCAATATCGTCAAAGCAATGGCTAGATCTCTGGGTTCTTCTGCTACGACCTTCTTGGAGCCTTTCGGTGTTAATGAGTTGGGTCTTTCCAAGAGCATCAGCTGAAACGGCATTTAGCGCAATGGGAAGGTGGAAGATTATTTCGACTGACCCTGCGATCGACCACTGCCGTGAGCTGGGATTTCAGATCGTCCAAGACCCGGTTACCCTGGCCGCGCACATTTGCTGCGAAATCCTTGACCCGATTCAAGAAGTCGGAATTCCTCTCGATGTAGCACTGATCCAGCCATTCCCCCATCATTTTGAGTACTCTGATCGTTTCATCAGAAGACAGGAAGGCAGAATATATCACCACTGGACGTACGCGATTTGACGGTCAACCGGATATCGCGATTGAGATGAAGTACCACCCTCGTCGGCAAGGTTGTATTCTTTGAGCAAGTATCCCAGCATGTCATCGGCGGTGATGAATGCCCGATAACTGATCACGAACACTCGCTTGAACCTCTTGTAACGCCCATCTGTGGCTTGGTCAAGATCGTAATTCATCTGAGAGGAACTGCAACACGCACCAGAGTAATCTGTCAGGAGCATCCCTATCAGGCCGCGAAGCGTCCCTGCATCGACGTCTCCATTTAGCGCGAAGCGCGTGCGAGACTCAGGGTCCGTGATCGCAGATTCGAGATTTGCAGAGTAGGACGAGTCACTGGAGTCGACGGTGAACGTCGAACGCGAAGAATCCGCTGGGACGGGAGACATGTAGGCGGAGCCCGGCGAGGTGGACAGCCCTCCAGAAGACAGAGAAGTCGAGATTAAGCCGGCGTGGATAGAGGCCATATCGAAGGAGGACCTTGTGCGCGACTTGTTTGGGATCGGTATCGGAGACGAGGCTGCTGCTGCTTGGGGTGTCAGAGACAGCGCTCTAAACGCCGAGGGGCTGAGGGGAGGGCGGTGGTCGACACTTTCAGAAGTTGAAGGCCTGGAGCGAGCGGGGTATTGTCCCTTGATCCATGCGGCATTTCCATCAGTCGACGTGGATGCTAAAGATGTATCGGTGGGTGAACGCCGCCTGTGTCGTTGATTTCCGAGGCCTGCTACGGGTACGGGTGCCACTTGCGATGGCCGGCCGGACGATGAAGTTGTAAGAGGGGGCGCAGTGAGCGACGTGCCAGGATGATGAGCTATGCCAGGTTCGGAGGAACGGCGTAAGGTGTACATTGCCGGTACGCGCTGGGGGAAGTCAACTGCACCCGCGCTTGTGGGTAGCGGCGGGAGAGGTCGCCCTATCCGGCTCTCAAGACTGGGACGCGACGTTGACGTGGAAGGAGCAGAGCCAATGGATAGCGAGGCGATCGGTCCTAAAGAAGACTTGATTCAATCCTGGACCGGTGACGGAGAGTCCATCAACACGCACCTTCTTGCAGTTCGCGTAACGCATTCCGAACTTGGGACATCATCGGTCGCTCCGCAGGAACCATATTCCAGCAAGCAGTCATGATCCGCCACATGTTGTCGTTCAATCCACGTGAGACAGCCGGTTCGCCAGGACGAGCGGGTAAGATGCCCTTGATAATATCCAACGCGACGTGGACATCCGCCTTCCTGTTTGGGTACGGCACATTGTCGGTCAAGAGCTCCAAGCATAGCATAGCATAACTCCAAACCTATAGGACGACTTGATGAGTGATGTTCGCTACGGTAAACTCGACGTAACACTCACGTCGGACGCGCATGAACTTAGGTGCTGCCCGCTCTCGGGGTCCAGTCTTTCGGGGGCGGACCATCGCGTGCTGCTCATGCTGGTAGAACTAGACGTCGCATTCCGCGCTGCCTCCTGCATTTTAGGTGTCAGCAATCGGATCGAAATGAGATGAAACAGTTCACCAACATCATCGAGTACCTATATATGGCTCATGATGAATTCCCATCGCCAATGATATGAAGTATCCTCACCTTCGACAAACCGAAGTCAGATATTCGAGCTCTGCCCGAGGCTGATATCAGGACATTAACCTGATGACGCATAGTCAGTTTCAGAAGCGCTTCATCGGTACGAGAACTAACACCCCGCAGGTCACCATGGATAACATTCGAACTGTACGTATGCAAATAATCCACTCCAGATGCGACTTCACGAAGTATTCGCATGCGGTCCGCGTCCGGGTTTCGCTTGAGGTACTCGATAGAGTTGCCGTTTTCCATCCATGGGCTAACCTACGGCGATATCAACGATCGTCCCCTCCATTCGTGATGCGTATAGCGAACCGTGTAGAGCTTTCCACTGAGTTCAACGATCCCGTACAAGCGGACGATGTTCGGGTGGTTCAGAGAGCGCCAAATGTCTACTTCCCGTCTAAATTTCTTGCACTCGCATATGAGGAAGGCGATATCAGGCCGGAAAACGTGTGCTTACTCGTTGAGCGTTCTCGGAGTTGTTGATGGCTCTCGAAACCTTCAGGGCCACTTTCTCCTCGCCTAGCCACGTTCCTACGAAGATACGAGTCGGCATTAGCCATCATCTGGGCACGAGACCGGAATAGGTACTTGCCAGTATAGACATCGTTGAACCCTCCTTGGGCAACCGGCTGTTCGCTAGTCCTTTCGATCTGGCCGGTCACTACAAAACCTGTTCAGCCGAACTTCGCGCGTCGACGGGAGAAGGCGCACGTTCGGTCATAGGAGGTAGAAGAGACGTCGCCTTGTGAAGCGCATACAACCCTCTTTGGAGGTGCGTGTCGTCTAGTTGGCGCGCTCGTGTGTGTTGTAGTGCCTGAAGCCTCGTCAGCACGTTCCCGGGTGGATAGTGAAACGCACGAACCTCCTGCATGCTTTGCATCAAAGGTCTAGCTTCCGCAGCCGGTAGCTGCCTGCCCTCCGTGAGTTGTTCTTCCAGTCTATCCAGTTGTGTCCGCAGCTGATCCTGGTACACATCCTGGTATTGTCTTAGGTTCTGCTGCGCATTGCTGAGGTGGACATTCATTCGGAACTGCTGGGGGGTTGAGCGTGACACTAACAAACGGAGACGCGTTTGACGCACATTGAATACCCTGATGGTACTGTCGATCTCCTGGTAGCTACTCTCTATGCCGCTTTTGATGTCGCCCTGTTTGATCAGGCACTGGAAATGGCTCAAGCTTGCCCATCCGCAGACTTTCCGATGCACTTTCTCGATGACCCTGCACTGGAAATGAGCATTGGAAATGCATCGGAAGAAGCGAGGCCACGTACGCTTCTACCTCGTCTATCGCCGCCTGCGCCTCCGCACCCCCCATGCCCTGCAAATCTCGGGCGGCTAACAGCAAATGAGCGCATTTATCCGACACGTCGTAGCATTGGTCCTAGCAGGTTGTCAATTGTGTGCGCATACGCAATCCGGGGTGATGCTGACTCTATACACGGAGATGTTCTTTATCGACTCATAGGTTTTGCCAACTACAGACGCCCGCGTCGTTTCTTCAGCTTATGGAAAGAACCAGCATGCGGTCCACCTACGCAGGTCCACTCCGGTCTCGAGGCCGGGAACTCCGCTAAGCTGTATGAGCGTTTGCATCAAGCTCATGGAGGACGTGGAAGAGGTGCATGGATAGCCAAGCTCTGACGCCCGGTGCGAGACCTGCGAGCACACATGCTCGACAGCTCGGATCTGGCGCCTCCTGCGATCACTGGATGGGAATAAGCCGTGCGAAACTTGATAACGCCGATGCCGAACGTGCCTCCGCACACAGACGCCCAGGATGCGGAGTTGATACTCCTTGCAGCTGCCTTAACTTCTCACCGTCATTCGAATTTGACTATAGGGAATCGCTCGGATGAGTTAGTTCGCATGCAAGCTGATACACTATGGAAAGGCGGGTACGCGAGCACGCGGCGCAGGTTCGTCCTGGAGGCCCTGAGTTTAGCGAACCCCAATAGTCCGTATGACTACTCGCGCAAGAGTTCAGGAAGCTGAATGACCCCGTCCGGGAAAGCATTGATACGAAGATGACACCGATTTTGAACGCGTATGTGTGTCATGCAATTTCTTGTGATCATACTATACTTGTCACTATGTACGTGGCGTTGGATCTATTGTTGCGTACCGCGGCTTGGGGGGATGCAGACTCCATACTTCGTGACTGTATAAGTACTTGATTGTTCGTAGTTTTCGCCAAATAGACGTGGCTTACAAGTTGGAGCTGAGATCTGGGAAGCTTGATGCACCGTACACCCGCGCAACCCCGTGCCAATAATCAGCGGAGTTGTACGTTTACAGGATCAAGCGAGCACCGAGCGAAGCTCGGTGCGCCGTCTTGGAGAGAGGGAGCACCTTATCGTAGCGCAGCACCTATGTATCTTTTCCCACGCCTTCTCCTCCCGGAGCCTCACCGCGAGAGCGGTAGGCATAGCTGCGTCAAGACCCACCCTCCCCAGTCCCTGGTCTTTTGTGAGTTCTTTCCGAGCAAACTGCAGGCGAGCCTCTGGGCCCGCCTTCGGTTTGCGCCCAGAGGGGGCAGCCTGTGACGAGCGACGTGCAGGGGAACGCCCGTTGGGGTTACCAACTACTCAGACAGCCGAAATGTCCAAGTAATCGGGTAGAGTCGGATGGAAGAGCAACATTGTCAGCACTTACTTTAGGCAAGAGTACATGCAGAAAAGGAGGAGCTGAGCTCGACTCAAGGTCACTGGACACGAGGTCGACAGCGATGCACTAGGCACCTAATGGACTCAAGATCACACACTAAGTCCCCAAGACACAAGTTAGCATAGTATCTAGTACAGAGACGGTTACTCACCTAAGTCCCCAAGACACAATAGGTCGAGATGGGGACTTAGGGCGAGCTACAGGGGTCTTATATACACAAGTCCATGGTCCAAGAATAGTACAAGAGAATCACATGCAGGGCACAAGGATGAGTAAGACCGACCCACTTAGGTGGGTCAGGATTATGAATCAAGGAGTTAGAAGGAATAACGAGTCATTGTTCATGAGTAAGCGGAATAAAACTCCGGTGGCTGTGCAGGGCTGTGCAAGGCAGTGCAGGGCAGTGCAGGGCAGTGTCAATGATGCTGTACTGCTGCCACTGAAGGTCACGTGACTTTGGAAAAGGAAAGGTGAGAAAGGAAAATGATAAGTCCATATTTAGAAATGAAAAATGCGAAAATAAATTGTCCTTCTCTTCT